GTTGTCAATTGATAAACTAGATCATGGGCACAAAATAGAGAGGATAGGAAAAACTCAATGTGACAGAACAGGAACACATTTATCGAGAGCTACCCAACTTATTTTTTATTCATATTTAAATATCACGTGACAAGTTTATGATAAAAAAATATTAAAAATTTAAATATTGTCTGTTTGAGGGACCACATAAAAATATATTTAATACTTTAGAACCAAAATAATGCAATTGAAATATTATAGATTAAAATGAGACAAACTCTATATTTTGGGGACATTTAGTGTAATTAATAATTCTTTAAATAATCACTTAATTTCTTTGATATTTATATAAAAATATATAAATTATTTGAACTCGATCAAGATATAGGTATGATGGTGATGGATTTTAGTCTGGCCCTTCTGGAGCCCAGAGCTCTTTTTGTGCTCACAGAATGCCACGTAAGCGTCTCAACTAGATAACATTCGTTGGGCTCGAATTGAATCATGGCCAAATTCCATAGGAGCCTGAAACAAAACAAGCTCGGAATAGGTGTCAGCTTGATATTGACAAGCCCAATATAGATACCAGCTCAAGAAGTGAGAGCATGGTGGCAGGCTAATTAGCAAGAGTTACAACATGACATGTAAACAGGAGACGAGGGGATAATATCTGACAATCTTGATGAACGAAAACTCATCAGTAGTGGAGATGACTCATTTATTCTAATCGGTGAGTAGTGGGTGCAAAAAACCGTCAGGGATGACGAGATCAATACCAAGGCAAACATGGAGAAGACAACAAAATTAGCAAGAAGGGATCAACACAAAAACCCTAATGGCCAGATGTATAAATAGCTAACGATACCACACACAGAGAATAACGACCCAACAATAACCTATGTGATATTATGTAAAAAAAGCTTCCAATCAAATAACTTATAATAACAATCTTCTTTTTCAAGTAATACAATTCTCAATGAGTAAGAGTCTCAATTACAATAAATGTAACCTTAGTCTTTCGATTATAACAAATCACTCGCACTGTTATCTTCATTTTGCTTATAACACTTAGCACAATTTATTGTCATATATTCAAATTCACACATTCTTTGGACTATATCATAGATTGTTATTCGATTTCAAACACCATCAAAGTATATTTAAATTTGAATTCAAATTCATGAAATAAAAATATCAAATTCAAATTATCGATAAAAAAAATCGATTTATATCCGATAAATTAAATTTAAATTCAATCCATTCACAAACATAAGCTTAACCTTGAACTTCGAGACTTCAGGGGAAAAAAAATATACATATTTTCTCCACCTTGATTACCAAAACAGCCTAAGTCACAATCAGCCATGGTTGGTGCGTAGGCCCAATGCTCAAGTAATAAGAAAGTGTATTGGTCAAATTTTGTGTCCTTGGAAAAGCAAGAATATATAATTGGCGTGTTTGTATTAACTTACCCACTTTTAAGATTCCGGTCAGAAAATGCAGGTAAAATTGCAAATCAGTCTCAGATTTTTTATTAATAAATATTTAGCCCTATCAATTTTTTATTGTAATATCGCTGAATTTGAAAAAATAGTTTATATAAGTTTAAACACTTTGTAATAAAAAAAAAGTCAAATTTTAAAATTTTTGTTTTAAATTTGTTTAACGCCTCATGAATTTATATCAATTTTGTCATTTTTATTTACATCGATAATGTTTTTATTCTAATTCTGTAACCATTTGGCTACGAAATGTTTTTTTTAATTTTAAACATATTCATTTTAGTTGAAGTTTTTTTATGATAAATTTTATTCTCAAATTATTTTGGCAAGCCTCATATTAATATAGTAGTACACTATAATTCACATCGTTCGGTGGATTGTTTATATTGACCAACAAAAAATCAATGCTATCAGAACCGGATCAGTCATCGAACTGGCAAGGGGACCGAGTCAATGGTTCACTGGTTCAACCGTTGAGTCAACTGGTCGGACCGGTAATATAATAAAAAATAAAAATATATATATAATAATTATAAAATTTAATAATTTAGCTAAAAAATATANCTGGTTCAACCGTTAGGTCAACTGGTCGGACCGGTCATATAATAAAAAAATATATATAATAATTATAAAAATTAATAATTTAGCTAAAAAATATAAAATATGTATAAAATACATAAAATTTGTCATAAAATTAATGAAATTAAGTAACAAAGTGGGAGTTATTGTATTTTAAAGAAAAGTAAAGAGGTTCAAGTAAATTATAAAGAAAAAGAATGGGTATTATTTATAATTTTTTCAAGAATAAGGTTAAAAAAAATCAACTATTTACTGATTTAGGGCAAAAAAAATTATTTATGTAATTTAATTTTTAAAAACTGGTTGATTTTCCGGTTTTTGTTAAAAACTATCCAGTTTTCTGGTTTTTAGCCGGTTCGTTTCCTTAAGCGGTTCAACTAAGGAACCGGATCGGTTAGGGTCCCGGTTCACGGTTGAACCGGTCCGGTTCTGATAACACTGCAAAAAACAAAGTGGATTGTTATTGAAAATTATGTTAAAATCTCAAAATGAATTATAAATTTTTTTAATAGAAATCTAAATGAAAAAAAAATATTTATGCTCTGTTGAGTAGGAAATATAAAAAGTAGGAGGGATACATTTTTTATCCTTCAACCAAAGAAAATATGAATGATACACGTTCCTTCTTTTGTATTTGGTAGGATTTATGGAAAATAGAAATGATTAATTTTTTTATGTTTGGTATTAATGAAAAAAATAGAAGGATAGAAACAATATACATACATAATTTACTATTTTATTCTTATATGAGATTAATATATCTATATAATAAAGTTGCTTACAATTCAAATTTCAAAAGATAAATAAAATATTTTTTGTTATTCGCGATTGAGATCGCTTTAAATTTTATTTTAAATTTAATTTAACGGCTAATATTAATATCCTAAATTTAATAGGAAAAATAGGCTCCTAAGGGTGTATTTNGGAACCGGATCGGTTAGGGTCCCGGTTCACGGTTGAACCGGTCCGGTTCTGATAACACTGCAAAAAACAAAGTGGATTGTTATTGAAAATTATGTTAAAATCTCAAAATGAATTATAAATTTTTTTAATAGAAATCTAAATGAAAAAAAAATATTTATGCTCTGTTGAGTAGGAAATATAAAAAGTAGGAGGGATACATTTTTTATCTTTCAACCAAAAAAAATAGGAATGATATACGTTCCTTCTTTTGTATTTGGTAGGATTTATGCAAAATAGAAATGATTAATTTTTTTATGTTTGGTATTAATGAAAAAAATAGAAGGATAGAAACAATATACATACATAATTTACTATTTTATTCTTATATGAGATTAATATATCTATATAATAAAGTTGCTTACAATTCAAATCTCAAAAGATAAATAAAATAATTTTTGTTATTCGCGATTGAGATCGCTTTAAATTTTATTTTAAAATTAATCTAACGGCTAATATTAATATCCTAAATTTAATAGGAAAAATAGGCTCCTAAGGGTGTATTTTGAGTGACTTTTTAAAAGTATTTTTAGAAATTATTTTTCATAAATATTTTTAAAAAAAGTGTTTGCAATCGCCCCACTACTACTTCTACCACCACCACCACCACCACTACCGCCACTGCCACGGCCATCACCACTGCCACTATCGTCGCCACCATTACTACCACCGTCACCATCTCCGCCACACCCACTCCCACCGCCACCGCCACCGCCTGTTGTTGCCGCTTCCACCACCCCCACCCCCACCATCACCGTCGCTCTCGCCGCCACCACGGTCATTACCACCCACTACTACTGTCCACCACTTCTCATCCCCATTACAAATCGATGTTTAAATTACTTTATCTCTTCTTTATGTTTGTGATTTGATTTTGAATATAAATACATATATGTTTATTATTTTTTATTTTTTATTACTTTGTATCTTCAGACAATAACTAGTATATGATATTCCATGTCATTATAATATATGCATCATGTGTTTTAACAAACACAAATCACATAAAATTACATCTATTTTTTATTTGATTTTTTTAAAAAATAAACAAATAATATACAAACACATACAAATGTTAACACATAATGTAATTTCACCGATTGATATATGAGTTTGAGTTTAGGTGTTTAATATAAAATAAATAATTAGTTAAAGGTTAAAAAAGTAAAAAACATATTTTTATTTAACGCGAGTACTATTTTCTTTCTTTTTTCGCTTAATTTTGGAAATATTGATTTTGATGAGTTGTAAGGAAAGCTCATCCATCTATTTTTCGATTCTTCTTATTTTTCTTTATTTCCAAACATAATATTTTATTTATCTCTTAAACTTTTCATCATTCTAACTTTTCATTTTTTCATTATACCAAATAGAATATAAGTTTTGGGGTTATTCGATATCATATTTGAGGAGTAGGGCACAATAATCTTTATAGAAATATGACACAACCGAATGATTTTTTGTAGTAAGAAACAATAGGACTTTTTTGAAATTTTTTATTTTAATTTATGAATTATTATTATAGGTGGTAAATGATTTGAGTTATTCGTGCTTCACTTGAATTTGACTCGTTTTAAGTTCGAATAAATTTTTAGGCCCGTTCAAAAAAGAATACTAGAAGCACGATTTGTTTTGGACTCGAACTTACAAAGTTCGAATCGTTTATATATAAAATAATTGAATTATTTAAATTCGATTAATTTTAGGTCTGATTCGAGCTCATTTGCTTAAAAGATAGTCAAGTTTTAATGTATTTTAAAACTCGTTTTAAAAAATGAGCTCGGCTCTTGTTCGAATTGGTTGGTTCGACTATTTTTTCACCCCTAATTGTTATCGACTAGTGTTGCATTAATTTTTGCATGCAATTAGTTGATTAATTTTTGGATTAGATTAATTAATGTTATGGACTTACTAATAAATGTCAATATTAAATGGAATGTACTGTAGATTTGGTGCAAATATATTAGTTGCTTTACTACCTACACATTCACACCAGTCCCAAGCATCCAGAGTTCAGCTTCCCAGTAGAGAGCTCGGAGAGCGAACAGTCTCCCTCTCTCACAACAGAGAAATAATGGGTTTCTTTTCGTTTCTCGGAAGAGTACTCTTCGCCTCTCTCTTCATTCTCTCTGCTTGGCAAATGTGAGCTCCCCTTCTCTCTCTCTCTCTCTCTACATCTGATATGCACTAATGGGAATGTATGTTCTTTATGCATATTGTGGACGCTACTCATTGTTTATTGTTAGATCTAGCTTTTGTTGCTATCACTGAGTTACTTGCTTCACTGTTTTACTTCCTGATTTTTGTTATCGTTACACTGATCTGTTTGGTCGCCGAGAAAGCTGAGGGAAACGAAAAGAAAATTGGATTTTTTTTTTGTTGTAACTTATGCTTTGTGTAATTTCGGATTTGGAGAAGTAAAAGGACTGGCTTTAACTAAAGAGGGTTTGTTGTACTTTGTTCAATTGACTCGAAATTTTGTGGGTTTTTTGTATTACAAATGGATGCTCTTAAAGATTGAACTATGTTTCTAAGAAGAACAGTATTGAAAGTGCTATATTCGATTGAATCTGTTGCAATTTGTACTAAATGGTAGGCGTGTTGGCGAATTACATGATCAGTTCTCTTTTCCTCTTAGTTGCCATTTGTTGCACTTATTATCTGATAATTGATTAATGCTGGCAATTTTGGCTTCTGTGGATATGCGGACTTTACTGTTGTATACAAGGGTACTGTTGTTGTAATTAATTATATTTGTTAAGGCAAGCGGTAGCTCTTCTTCCTCATTCTCTTTTAGAACCCTCTGTGAGGTGAAACTGATTTGAAAAATAGATGATCTAGACCGGTATTTGGCCATGATGACTTGGGAGAGTAACAGGCTTTGGTGAAGGTGTATTCTCCAGCCAGTGCTTAACAAGGAGGGCTTGGTTAAGCAATGTGAAGTAGAGCAATACCCCTAGAGCCTTGAGCTTATAGAGGGGTGACCATCAGAGTGAGTGCAGATATTGGCCATTGGGAGATTGATGCCACCTTAAGTGTGACAGGATATAGTTACGTTTGTAGTGGATTCAAATTGGGATTTGGTCTAAATATTGGTTTTTAGCATGAATCATTAAAAAGGCACCCCGCAAAAAATTGTGGGGGAAAGAAACATACCACAAATATTATTGCAAATATCAGTTAGTAGATCTCTTTATTCACCTATTAGTACACGTGGCATGACAAGAAAGGCAATTCCCAAAAGTTTCATAACATATATCTATTCAAATATGGACTGTTAAAAAATAATCTTTTTTGAAACTGAATAGTAGCTTTCTACTAATTGGCATGATAAAGAACAATCTATAATATCAAACAAGACAGGCTTCAGTAAGTCCATCTGACGGTCTCAAATAGATTCATTCAACGACCACAAACATCTCTCTCAAAACCATTCACATACTGTGGCTTCAGTCACGAGTAACCTCTGGTTTTCTCATAAAGTAGGATACACATCAATCCCTATCAGCCATATGTAGTCGAAGGATATACATAAGATCTATGACTCTTATTTAGATGAAATGTGTAGTCCGATGTCTATAGAACAAAATTGTTTATGTTATTTGATGAAGTGTTGAACTAGTGGATTTGACATGTTTGTCATGACTTGTCCACATGTTGTACCTGGCCTGAATGTACATCAAACTGCAGTTGGTCATAAGCAATTTTTGCTTGGACTGTTCTTGGTGGTACTCTAGTTACCCACCGCTACTTTTCTTGTTTTTGACATAGTATTTGAAGTTGATTTTGATAAAGGTGCAGGTTATGGAGTGGTGATCATGTACATGATTGACGAGTCATGACAAACATGTTTTCAATGTAACATAACCTCTGGCCTTCAGTTAGGCTGTACACTTTAAGCATGCTATACTTTTCCTCCCTATTTCAATTCATATGCTGGTTAGGCTATTCCATATCATTGTAACAACTTCTACATTGACCTCATCACTGAGTAGTGAAGTTGCAAGTTCTCATTGCACATGGCCAAACTGCTAGTTTCTTTTATCTTTCATATTACTTGTGCTCTGCTTGGTATCTAACAGGGTTTTTAGCACTCCAAACTTGATATTTGGGTCCTCATATTCTTCTATTTCAGCGCTCTGAACTTGACTGTGGGGTCTTCATACCCGTGTGTATGGATGCATGTGTAAATTCTACTGAGAAACAGAGCATTGAAGAAAACTGAGACATACTATTTTTTTCTCAAGATATAGAATTCCATGATTGTCCCCAACTAAATGGCCTATACATTTGTGTTTGTTGGAGAATATTGTACATGCACATGGCCAAACTGCTAGTTTCTTTTATCTTTCATATTACTTGTGCTCTGCTTGGTATCTAATGGGGTTTTTAGCACTCCAAACTTGATAGTTGGGTCCTCATATTCTTCTATATCAGCACTCTGCCCGTGTGTATGGATGCATGTGTAAATTCTACTGAGAAACAAAGCATTGAAGGAAACTGAGACATATTTGAGCTTCTATCTATTTTTTTCTCAAGATATAGAATTCCATGATTTTTCCCAACTAAATGGCCTATCCTTTTGTGTTTGTTGGAGAATATTGTACTCTTCTGTTAATATTAATATGGCATGTGTTGTACAGGTTCACTGAATTTGGTGGTGATGGTGGCCCTGCAGCAAAGGAAATCGCTCCTAAACTAGCTATTGTCCAGAAATTCGTAACCTCTAAGTTAGGGGAAGGGGGACCCAAAATTGACGTAAAGCACTAGTTTTATTTAATTTTTTGTTTGCGTTAATAGGTTGAATTTTTTTTCATCTTTGCAGTGTGTAGCTATTTTGTATCTTCGACATATTTTGTACAGGTAAAGCATTTTGTTGGAGCTTCTATCGCTCTGAAAGGGCTCGGTGGCCTTCTATTTGTATTTGGCAGTTCCATTGGAGCTTATCTATTGGTTAGTATTTCTGCCTTTTGAATTTTCTCTTAGTTTTTGCATTTTGATGATGCATTATTACTATTGACATTGTAGCCTTAGTTTTTTGCCTCTTGTTGCTGCTGATTTACCATCTATAAACATTGTTTTCTTTTCGTGATTTCATTTTAACCCTCTTCATTTTTGTAGCTTTATTACTTGGTGTATACCACTCCACTTCTGTATGACTTCTACAATTACCACTATGGTGAGCCAGAATTTTTTGTCCTCTTACAGGAGTTCCTGCAGGTTGGTTAGATTCATATTCGGTGTCTTCTCTTGCTTACATGAGTGTTATGCACATATAAGATTGGTTAATTAGATCTTCTTTTCTTGGCAGTGTATAGCACTTTTTGGTGCATTGCTTTTCTTCCTAGGGATGAAGGACTCAATTCGAAGACAGCAACTCCAAAGGAAGACCTTCAAAACTAAGACATCCTAGATTTGTTGAAGACAAGAAAGTGAAAGACTGGATGGTTTCTTGGGGGGCGCTTTAATGTGGGAATTAGAACAGGCTCGGCTGTGTAGAGCCAAGCTTTGTATTGTGGATTATATCTCCCCCGAAATAATTTGTCATATTTTATGCTGCATTCCTCTTTCACTGTACTGGGTTTTTTACCCATTTAGTTGCATTGATAAGCACCATTCTGGAATGGGATTTGTTGCTTTAACAAGGATATGATTGTATAATTTGTCGGTTTTATCGCTAAACCTTTATGTTTTTTGGATTAATAGTTGTCGCTGAGCTCAGTTTGTTTGGATTAAGAATTTGTTGAATTGGGAAAAATTAGGTTGCACAAGGATTTGCATAAATCATAACATTGAATTTGGATACGTGGAGTTCGTTAGCACATTTGCTTAAATCATAAGATGTTGAACTCTTCTCCTTTTGATTTTTGGGTGCTCTCTCTCTCTCCTCTCTCTCTCTCTCTCTGTGTGTGTTATTCTGAACGACAATTTTCTGTGCACTATGGAGGGGAATAATCTCTCAATTTTTTGGTGTGGACCTACAATCAATCCAATCAAGTCACTATTTCAATCGAAACATCACTGTTTTGACCGAAACTGTTCAAAACAGTGACATTTTGCTCGAAACTAGAAATTTTTTTATTTTTATCCATGTTTTGTGTCGGTGTGTTAAAAATTTAAAATGTTTCAACACAGTATTTCGATCTCTTGGGTATGACCTTCCTGTCCACGTTAACCTGTGCGGGCTTTGACCTTGTTGGCCATGGTTTATCCTGCAGGACCAAAAGGGAATTGGGTTCTGTAACTTGAAGGGGCAATCAAGTAGAGTATGAAATAAGAATAAGAAGGTGAAGAGAGGCGGAATGTGGAGTGCAAGGCAGGAGCAGTGTGTCGGACTCTGTTAGTATCCCACATCGAAAGTGGAAAGTAGTGAACACCGAATAGTTTCATATAAAACATGAGTGGATGAAGCAGAAAAAGATTAAAAGGGTCGGTTGGCTAAATGTGCCACTCTCACCCTTTGTCGGTGAGTGCTGTATGGCTATCAAGACATATGGCCGACAATATTTGTGGAATTTTGTAGGGTTGGCTCGTTTGGCCGACTCTCTATTGCATAACCTCAAATTGTCATAATAACCGTAGTTTATTTATATATTTGATACTTGAATGACGAATAATTAAATTTATATAAATTTTATAAATAATTATTTATTTTTAATATTTATATAAACAATTTTGATTAGATTAAAGTATATTTAAATTTATAAAATATAAGATATTGAAGTTGGGTACGGATTTATTTATAGGTTCAATTTATTTTTGAATTGACTTGATTTGAACTCGTTATTTTAGAAAATGAGTTAATTTTGAATAATTTTTTTAATTTTGCATAAATTCACAAAATTTGATTCGTTTATATATGTAATATAATCACACTCAAACTTAAACACATATTTAGACTCCTTTTCTAAAAACGAAATTGTTCGGCTCTGACTTAAACTTGTTCTTTGGGCTAGTCATATTGGATAGTAGGTGGTATAAAAAAAAGGCTTAATCAAATATTAATATTTAAAATAAGGCTAATCTTAAATTGCACACTTCAAATGTCATTTGAATCTCAATTTACATCTTTAAAGATAAAAAATTTAAATTTATACTCTTAAAGATAGAATTTTGTATTAACGCATACCTCAAACTAACAGCCGTCAGTTTGCTGCCTAAATTAAATGAATAAATTACACTTAAACTCCCTCATGCTTATCACTTAATCATTTAGACTTCTCACATTTAAAATATTACACATATATCCCTTTAAAGTCTAAATATGACTAAAAATGCTCTCCCAATTGGGCATCCAAATAATTTTATTTAGGTGATATATTACATTAGATATAAAGAACATTATATAAATACATACATTATATTGGACATTCAAATGGTAAACTTGATTTTAAACTTTTGAATAAACGAACCCACAAAATAAAAGGCAATACGAAAATTATAAATTTTTATTAAGATGAAATTATATTTTTTAACGGTTATATTAACAGATATCAACGACAAAAGTTCATGTGTTACACGTGCACAAATATCAGGAGGTGTAAAAATAATATTCTAAATGTGAGGGGTCTAAATGATTAAGTGATAAATATGAGGGGATCTAGGTATAATTTATTCATTTAATTTTAAATGATAATATATTAGGATAAAAACTGTCGATTGTTAGTTTCAGGCGCGCATTAATACAATTTTTTATCTTTGAGGGTATAAATTGAGATTGTTTATCTTTAAGAATATAAATTAAAATTCAAACAATCTTTCAGGATGCAATTTACGATTAACCCTTTAAAATAATCATCTAATGTATGTTGTTTTTTCTTATTTGGCATAGCATGCATAGAATAAAATAGTAGATTAATTATTAGGGTTAGATTATTCCTACTCCTTAAATATCCTTTTTTACTCTATTTAATTGNAAATTGTTGCATTATTAGTTCTTCATATCTAGCAGAGATGAGGGAATTAACATTATTATCTGAGAAATACTTTTTTTTTTGGCCTTACACATTCTCCATACACCTAGATCGATCAAGGCCNGATCACCATATCTATATCCATCTCATTAGTTACTAAAGTCACTTCATTTATATTCACTAATTAAAAATTAAATTCATTCAATTATATTTCAATGTATTAAATAAGAAATTATCAAAATTTTATTTTGGTGTATTATTTCGGTACAAAAATATTTAAGAAATAGAATAGAATTAATAATTATTTTTAAAATATTAGTCGAGATATACTAAAATATTATAAAACACCTCAAAATATTTCAAAGATATTGAAAAAAATATATTAAAATATATCGAAACATCTCAAAATAATATAGATCACGTTGAAACATTGAAATTTTACTTCCATTACTATTTTTATTTCGGTTTCTTTGACATAAACTTAATAGTTTAATTGAATAGAATTGGATTAACTTAATAACTAATGAGGTATGTATAAATGAAATGACCTTAATAATTTAAAATAAAATAATTAAATGGGGTGAAAAAAGAGATTTAAGGGGTGAAAATAATCCAATCCTAATTATTATGGACGACTTTGATTTGTTTGTAATCAATGTAAATCTCATCTTATGTCCTATCTAAAATAAATATGCCCTGATAAATATTGACTTAATACGTAATTAGTGGACGAATGACAATTATTTTTCAAGAATTCGAGAGAAAGACATGATCTGCAAATTTAATAATAAATAAACGACTATTATCAAATAAGAGTAATTCGATTTTGACATGGTACACCCGTTAGAAACTGATATTGTATGAAAACAAGTCTAATTGTTTCTTCATTTTTTATTTTCTGATCAGCTATTATACGAATTACTATTTAGGGTTATCTCAAATTGCACCCCGAAAGATGATTCAAATCTCAATTTTTGTGTTATATCGTATTATTTTTGTGTTGTATTTGAATAAATAAAAAATTATTTTTAACACAAATTATTTTATTGTTGAGTTAATTGCATTGTGCTGTATATTTCACATTTACGAAAATTCATATAATACTATTTAAAATAATTATTTTTTATAATACTCATTAAATAGCTATTTTCTATTTAAAGTTAAATAGGACATGACACAATTGAGAGCTATTTAATGAGCATTAATAGATGCAATTCTTTTTAGATCATAAATGTAAAATATTTAAACTTTGATGATGCAATTTTTAATTAGCTCAAATTTTTTTAACAACAAAATGGACGACAGTTAGCTTTAGCTCTAGGTTCACATTGATACGAATTTATGTTTTTTAAAGTGTAAATTGATATTTTTAAACTTTGAAAATATAAATTAAAATTCAAGTAATCTTTCAAAGTACAAATCGAGATTAACCCTACTATTTAATTACCTTGAAGACAAAATAATTAATATGCAAAGTGGGCTAGTGTCAAGCCATTTAACACAAATAATTAATGGATTGTGTAGATTTGATTAATATTAGATACAAATACGAATTTATGTACATAATGTGATAAAATAAGCCCCCATCACCACTAGGTCCGTCAATAGATCATATTTTGTTTCGAATCTAATAAGCCAGATATGGATTGATAAAATGTTACCAATTATCCAAATATGCATTTGAATTCGAATTCATCACGTTATATTTAATGGATTCGAATTTGGATATATTAATATTCAATCTATTAACAATTCGATCCGAATTATATATATATTTTTATCTCATAAGTTTATATCCATTGATATTGTTTTGTCTCCAATATTCTCTCTCTACTATCTTCTTCTTTCTTATTTATAACTCAAAGTTGAGGTAGATAGATCTAGTTAAGGCTTCAAATGAGTAGTGGTGTTTACCCTACCTTACAGGTAAGAATTATGGTATTTCATCTTCCTATCCGATACTTTATGGAAGAATTTTTTCTTGGCCTACTCTACTAGATCAAGTGTAATATTCTTACCTGAATTCTGTCCAAAACAATCGGATAGGAAGTCGAGTGAACACATATTTTTTAGTTATTAATTTTTGGATAATTTTAACAATTTAATTAAGTAACTTGCATCAATTAACTAAAACAATAAATCAACAATACTAAAGAAAAGACAATAAATTTGATAATACATAAATAATTACAATAAACCCTAATGTTTTATATATAGAAACTGTAATGTTTTATTGATACGGATAGAGTAGGGTAGAAATATAGAAATTTCGTAGGTATTCTGTATTCCTACCCGATTTTTGCGGAATATCAAAAAATCTTCTGTTGGCCTATTCGATTTTTTCGGGTAGCTGATCAACAGAGTCAGGTAGGATAAAATAAGGTCAAAATTTGCTAGTAATCAAAAATTTGAACACCCTTGCAAATGAGTAGGCAATTATGATTTTTTTTTTCCATTGTGGAGTTGAATCTAATATAACGTGTAAGATATTGTAAGTTGATTATATTTTGTAAATAAACGAATCTAACCAAATTTTTGGACTAGATATCCGAAAGTTAATGAATTCAAATTTGATCGGATTGGATCACGTAAATTATTAATGAATTTGAATTAAGATTTAACAGAATTCGATCCATATCCGATCAATTGACAGACTTAATTATCACCCATAGACTAAATGCCAAAATTAGGGATTAAATTCTCTCTTTGCACTGTTCAATTTTGGACAGCCATATGATCCAAAATCAATGAACAAAGTCAGCAACATCTCGTAATGACGTTTCGTATTGCTTTGAGTCTTATAATTAATTAACTCCAATGATTCCTTACCATCTTTTCTTTATGGTGCCGTCTCAACTTTTACCTATACTTTTCTTTAGTCTCATCATTTGACTATTCTAAGGTTCTCAA